CATGCCATATTATAAATCCGATCTTTAAAAATCTTTTAAAATTTGACATACCGGTAGTTATAGCATTTGGCCAAGACTATTTTGAGTGAATGTAAATGCAAACAGAAGAGCATCGGCTTACCTGGAAATACAGCCTCTATATACCATGTGAGTACTGCATATAACAAAGAATCAACCCACATCATAACAATAGCTCGCCTCAGACTAAACTCATCACCACTGATAGGACTCGTACCTATGTTGTTCCACTGCAGTCCTTCTCCTTGTATCTCATATATGGCAAAGTAAGTACAGCCATAACCAAATGCTACTGTGTTGATTAGTGACTGCAAACCATGTAAGCATACCATATTACTTATGTCAGTATTGCTGAATTTTTTATATAATTTCCAGGGGAAAAATGTAATTTCTCTGGCTTTATACTTACTTAAGATAATCTTAATATTAGTGAGAGAAAATAAATATAAATACGCACAATATTTTGAAGTGGCCAAATATGACAGTGCCACTGCAATAAAGCTTTCAGAAAAAATATAAGAAATGAGACAAAACAAAACAAAACAAAACAAAACAAAACAAAACAAAACTTACAGCAGCAGTCTTCTGAGCTAGATTCATTTGATCTTGCCAAGCGCTTACCAGTACATAGGGTACATATGTTCCAATGAATATTATACCACCACAGGCAGCTGACAGGTTAGCACGTGAAAAGAACGTACTGATCAAAAAACATAACATGATTGTGGAGATGCTGAAGGATACCATGAAAAACAAGACTACTGATAAGTCGCTGTATATCAATAAATCACCATACTGTGGGACAAACAAGAAAAAGGTTGAGTTATGAAAATACAATAATTGGAATTAACGTATGCTTAGGGGTATAGCAAGCAAGTTTTTAGTAGTGGACAGCTGATAAACATAACTATTAGTAAATGAGTCTAACCAGTGTACACCATGAATAACTATATTTAACCATTGACAACTGGACCAATACTATTATAAGGAAAACTGAGCTGATAAACATTGTTACAAAACTAGCAATAAACCAGTGTAAACCATTAGTAACTATACATTTAACCATTCTCACCTGAATCAGCACGATAAGAAGTACCGAGCTGATAAACATCATAACAAAACTATTAACAAACCAGGCTAACCAGTGTACACCATTGCTAAGACCCATCACTTTCATCACTTCTTTCAGTCGTTTTTCCTTTTCATAAACTATGCTCTTGATTGTCATGGCAACAGAATAGACCCACGATATGACCATAAACATTGGCAGAATAGCAGACAGGAAAAACACAAATCTGAAAATAAATAAACATATTGTAGTGAAACATAAATAAATATGACAGCTATTATGCTTTAATGCTCTGTTCAATGCACCAACGTCATTTCTAATATTGCATTATTCGATCAGGACCGAATTTGAACAACATTTTGCCAGGTTATCAAGTCATTGTCAAAATCTACATGAAAAAGTATTTATACTTTCTATTAACCTTAAACTTTTGAGGTTTATTCAACTTTCACAAAAGTAACCCATAAACTTTTTTTTTAAATCTTGATCAAGATATGTAGCCAATAGAAATTATAGAAAAATAAATGAAATTGTGCAAAACGTTGTAGCAAAAAATC